ATCTCTTGGGGCTTGACATCTCATCTATCATGCCTCACTCCCCCCAGTCCACCCCTCAACGAAACAAAAACTAATCGAACAGAAACAAATGCAACAAACACTAAAAACCCAGACACTCCCCCCGCTCCGCACAAATCCGCCCCGGTGGTCCAAGACAGTGATGAGGAAACGAATTATGCGATCCCACGCGTGGCAACAAAGGTACCGGTAGACCGGGTCCGGGGCGAGTTTGAGGTCGAGACGGAGTTGATTGTTGAGCAGGTTGTGCAGGGTCTTGAGGGGGGTGGGGGGCAGGATGGGCAGGATGTTGGGCGAGAGGGGGGGTTGGAGATGGTGAAGACGGTGGAGGGTGGAATGGATGATTGTGGTGAGAAGGCCGCTGTTGTCGAGGATTGTGGGGTGGGAAGTAGGAGTAAGGGGTTGAGTTCTCCTACTTCTCTCTCCTCTCCTTCCTCTCCTACTTCTCCTTCCTCCCCTTCTCCACCCTCTCCTCCCTCTCCCCCACAAACCCAGAAGCGCAAGCGCTCATCCACCGCCTCAGACTCAGACTCTACATCCCCCCCACACACCAAAAAAGCAAAGAGCAAAACCGTCAGATTCGCACCCGAGGTCGTGTCGCTGCTTTATGTTAGTGGCTGGGAGGACGGAGACGAAGATGAGTACGAAGATGGAGAAGAAGATGGAGAAGAAGATGGAGAAGAAGATGGAGAAGAAGATGGAGAAGAAGATGGAGAAGAAGATGGAGAAGAAGATGGAGAAGAAGATGGAGAAGAAGATGGAGAAGAAGATGAGATGCGGGATTTGTTTGAGGAATGAGACGTTTGTTTTTGCAGTGAGTGTAGTAATAAGTTTTTTTTGGAATGGTATGATGATTTGTGTGGGATTAGAGAGAGGGATATGAGCGGAATCTTTTAATTTGTGGGCATGGTCTCTAGCAATCGTTTCTAGCAACGATTTATAGCAAAGTTTCATCCCAAGTAACCCAATAATGATAAGCATCCACGTCCATCTCTTCACGCAACAACCCCATCTAACCGCTCCATCAAGTCTATAATACATCCCTCCAACGCCATCCAAAGCACCTGCAGAAATTGAACCCTCCGTCCTCCCTACCCTACTCTCAACCAAAACCACCATGACTTCTCCCTCCTCCCCACTAACACGCCCCCCCCCCCACTCCGCAGTTGGGCAGAAGAGCAGTAGCTTCTTCTACATTCGGAGGCGCTGTCTGTAGTAGAATTGTAAGCGGAGAACTCACTTAGACTGATATTGTACTTACACTTGGAGTGTGAACTGTTTATAATTCATGAGCATCTCTATGATCCCTCACTCGTTGGAACCTGACCTATGGACCCACGGCCGCGATCGAGGAAGTCCTTACAGTCACCAATGGTTGACGTAAACTTGCTCCGGGTCGCGC